ACAGAGAAGGCTCAGCTGGGCTGGCACAGGGAGGGAAAGGTGATGGCTCTGGTGTGAGGGGAACCGGCACAGTCCTTGCTCTCAGGCTTCCTCCTTTGATTGGGGGCCAGCACAGTGCAGCAGAGCGGCACGCAATTGGGACTCAAGAAGCCTGTAGGCTGGTGTGGCTCTGTCATTATCCCACTGTGTGATTTTAGGCAAATCTTTTCCTAGGCCTAGGCAGTTTCCTTCCCTGTGACAAGGTGTTACCACCCAGCACCAGGCCTGGCTAATGGATTTCTGGGAAGGGCAAATGGTGAGTGAGGGAGTGGGGAGCACTTTATAAACTGGTAAGTACTCTGAGTTGAGGGAAGAATGTCTGTTGATTTGTGTTTCCTTTGACATTGATACTTTTAGCTGAGTTTGAATTGTTAAACTTTCTGGCCTGGGCTAGAGCATCTGGCTAGTTGAAGTTCCCAGGTAATCCAGAGCTGTTAGCCAGCAGTTGACTGGAGGCAACATTTTGGGTCCCTGGATATCAAAGTTTGGCTAAAAGAGCAACGAAAGCCTCCTGTGAGATAACTACAGAGATACCTTCATTTACCATTGGGGGAAACTGAGGTCCAAGGAGTTTGGTGACTTATCCATAGAGCTCTGGGGAGCACCCTATTCAACCCTAACTGAGGTAGCTTTGTTGCTAGAAATTGTCCAACTATAGTTTGAATAAAATATTTTAAAAATTGGTTGCTATGTTTTTGAATCTCTGCTATGTAACAAACACATTGTAGTTGGTACTTTACGTACATTGGTTTTGTTCCTTACAATAGCTTTAAGAGGTAGGCACCTCAATAGCCTCATTTTCCAGTTGAGGAAACTGAAAGAACTTGCTGATTTCCCCCAGGTGGGCAGAGCTGATTACAGTGCAGAACTGGCTGACTCCCTGGGTGTGTGTGTGTGTGGGGGGGTTCCCTATCCTCACTGTTCTTCCCTTAGATGCCCCCCCATACACAATGGCAGGATGGGCCCAGAGTGGGCTTGCCTCCAGGAAAACTGCTTGGAGGAGTTCTGAGAAGCTGACTGGTTGAGACCATGCCTCTGGAACTACTGCGTAAATCCACACATTTCTTTCCTGAACTCAGCGTTCTCTAAGTTGGCTGATCTGGGGCAGTAAGGTGGGCCAGAACAGGCAAGGCTCAGGCTGTAGCTGCTTCCCTGCACCAAGAAGGGTCCCTGAGGCAGATTTGTGGCTGGTCGCCTGCCTGTGTTTTGAGGGGAGGTGGGAAGGAAGAAGGTCTGCCCTAGTAGTCAGCCTTCCACTGGTCCCAGAATGAACTGAGGTTGGCCCTGCGAGCAGGGATGGCCCCAGCCCGCACCCTGCCATCATAGCAGCAGCTGTAGCAAGCAGCCCTTGCCAGAGACCACAGAGTCGCCTTAGAGGGTTCCCTTACCCACCAGTCCACCTGAAAATTAGACAGCCACATAGGTTGAGAAACCTAAGGGTTGCAGGGCCCTGCATTTGGCAGGAACCACGGTAGGAGCCAGTCCCAGCCTGGGGGAGCCACAAAGTCTATCCCTTCCTGTCCCCTTTCCCTTCTGCCCCACCTCACTCTCTTGGCTGGTAAACTCTGTGTCCCCAAGTAAAGGCAGCACAGCCCATGGGGGAAAGATAGCAATGGGACCTAGTGCAGTAGTGAGGAATGTGGAGAAGGGGCCTGGACCAGAGGTGACTAGATGGAGCTGCATTAAGGGGCTGTCAGCTATGAGTCATCATTGCCACCTACTGTCCTACTGTCTTGGGGGAAAGTAGACAGAGACACTGTGTGAGTGGCTATGGGGGTGGGGTGGGGTGGGGTACCTGACCCTGAGAGGAACTAGGCAGGGAGGTGGGAGATAGCACAGTTTCAAGGCTGGTTCTTGCCAGCAAAGATGACCCTGGGCCTAGTTAGGAGGAAGGCCTGAAGTTGAGGGAAAGAATCTGTCTCGGGACACAATCCTGCCGATTTCACCCACTCCCACCACACCCACAGCGGACTCTTCAAACTGCTCTTAAGAGAGGATTCTGTGTACATTCACACACAGGTCTTTAAAGTCCCCTGAAACCTGGCTCTTCTTCTGTGCGGGCCAAGGCAGCTGGTCTCCCAGGCTCCCCACAATAAATGGCTCTCCCAAATGAGCAGTCTTTTCCACGTGATCTGCTACTTCCTAACTGGGATCTGACCTGTAAGGTAGTAATGATAACAGTAATAATGCGACTTTCTCATTTGCACTGCACTTTGTAGTTTACAGAGTGCTTTTGGTGTCCATTCTCTCATCTCATCCCCACCCTACTGCAGTGGACTGGGGAAATGGGGGGATAGATAGAGATAGAAGAGCTCTTTTGATCTCCATTTCACAAGTGCCTTTCAGAGGGGTGCCTTGGCATGTTCAGGGTCCCCTGGCATGGCTTGGACCCTACTCCTGTGGCCCATGGCTCCTTGCACAACACACTGCACATGTCAATGGCAGGGAAGGGGACAACATAGAGAGCAGTGGGCTGGCCTCTACCCCAATGAAGCACAGGAGTAAGGGCAGCAGAAGGCCCAAAGGGACTGCCCCCCAGCCCTGAACCCAGCAGGACAATGCAGCCTTCAATTCACCAGGATGTCTAGGCCCATAAGATTTGTCACTTGGCCCTTGATCTTCCTTGATTTCAATCCATACTTAGTAGTCTCGCCCATCCCTTCCCCTAAATCATTGCCATTTCTACTCACTCCTGTCTGACAAGACTCAGATTGAATGCCTCCTCCTCAAGGTAGCTTTTCTCAGCCCAGGGGGTGTCTTTCTGTCTTTCAAATTTATCCAGGGATATGATAACAAGGTATGAAGAATGATAGCCCTCCAGCCAGCTTAAGCAATAATAGGGCTCTTCTTTAAGGCCTGCATCATGTTGTGCTTTCAGATTGTTATATATGGGACTCTCCCTGTTAGCCTACAAGCTCCTCAAAAGCAAGGGCTAGGGGTTCCCCTTTCTTGGCCTGCCTGGCAGCACTGAGCTCAATGTCTATCACCAAATGCTGGTAGAGATTTGTCTCATGAATTCCACAGAGGGGAATACAGTTTCACAAACAACTCCACTACTGCCACCTCCCCCATGCTCAGTGCCATAATGACAGCACTCAGTAATTTCAGGGCTCGGGTTAAAAACATCTGTGCTTTGGAAAGTGGGGGATTCAAATACATGATAGGGCGCCCCTTCCCATCAGACCCGGAGGCAGAGGACTCTGAGTGGTTGTATGATTGTATATTTGTGGGGAGGGGGATGGCCCTGTCTATTGTGTGGCTATCAGTTACAGGGCTGAGCTGGAACAATGTCATATAAAACTATGTCACATGGGGCGGGGACAAGGGGGGGACCTACTCTGAGCAAATGGCAATACAGATCTCTTCAGAGAGGGGATTAGATAAGTTTTTGTCTCTTTTATTTTCTGAATAGCCAGCCAATATCTTGCTCCAAGTTTAATATTCATTTCTGCAGAGTGCTCCTGATGGAAGCCTGGATCACAATGATGATTCAAATATCAAGCCAAGCAAGGCTCAAGGCACAAAATTAATGTTCGCAAGACAGGATCAGGGGCTCCAAGAGGGTTCCTCTAATGAGGTCAGAGGCTGGAGTATAGCTGGCAGTCTCTCACCGGCCCCAGTGATGGTCAATAGTCTTTGACTGGAGGTGAATGTATAAGTTTTATTACCTTGGCAACCAATCACAGGGCTAATGTACTGGTCAGCTGCTCCGGGGACAACAGTGGTGCTTACCTCTCTCTCTGGCTCCCTGTAGCTGTTCTGCCTCCCTTCCATATCCTAGCTCCCTGTCTGCTGATGGCTACTCTACAAAGAAGGGACACAGTGGTAACGGACTTTCCAGGGAGGAGTCATTGGGCTTCAGCAGGCTGGTCACCGATCCAGCTGTCGACCAGCTGTAGTTACTGGAATGAATACATTGGACCTGGGAGGGGGGCATGTGTTGTAGGTAGGGGTGGATGGTAACTAGCCCTTCTTTTTATTCTATCTCTGTGGCATTTGGGTGTTTGGAGCATTGTGAGCCTAGGACCAGAAGGGTGTGCCTTGACCAGGTATTTATTTAAATAGATGTTGAGAGCCCAACTCCCAGGCCAGGAACATAAATCGTGTGGAGTTATGCCTTCAAGGATTTCCCTTGCTAGATGGGAGCAAAAATAATGAGGGGAGTAGAGAAGAAACAGTCTGCCTCGTGGTTCTAAAGTGGAACTTGGGGGTTCCAGTTGTTGAGGGCCACATTAAAATCTCTTCCCAGCAGGACAATCAATAGAGAGTCTGACCTAGACTTGCCCCCTAGGTATTGCTAGGCCTCCTGGACTGAGGATAGTGGAGGTCTGGATTGCAGCTCTGGAATGTGGGTCTGCAGGCAGGTCCGGGAGCATGGTCCTGCAGGCAGTTTAGAGAGCCTGTGGGGAGGAGGTGAAACTTCAGGTCTATTTCTCTTCCCAGCCCCAGGCAAAATGTCAGTGAGAGCCCAGGCTAATGTGAAATCGAGGCCTGGATCCCGTAGAGCTCAGTGAGGACTAAATGGGCTGTTTTGCCAGATGCTTTTCAAAATTCTATGTCGTCAGAGCCAGCCTCCATCCTGTCTTTCCTGTCTCTCCCTCCCCTCCTCTACTTGATAATCCCTCCCACAGCCAATAGTACCACTGGGCCTTTCTCACATCTGCAGTTCCCCCTGCCCAGGGCTCCCCTGAGATTATGGTAGCCTGAAGGGAGTGGACCCAGCAAGGGGGTAGGGGTGGTGGCTGCCTGTTGCTCAGTGTAGAGTTTCGCTGCCTTGGGGCCCAGAGGAGGCTGGCCCAGCAAGCCAAACATATGGAGTGCATTAAGGTTTTCCCTACATTTTCTCTTTCTTTCTGGTTCCACTCAAGCCTGAAACCACAGACACCTGTGAAAACAAACCCTGCCTGGATGCTTGCTCACCAGTACTGTCTCTCTGTCTTTATCTCTCTCATCTTCTCCAGACCCAACTGTGATGCTTCCTGACTGATGATGTTGTAACAGTGCCAACCAGGAAGCCAGAAGGCTGCGTTTTCAGCTGAACATACCTGAGTTGTCCCCATCACCATGGAGACCCGAAAGGATGAAGCTGTTCAGGCCAAGGGAGCAGCAGCCTCTGTGGACACCCAGGACCAAGGAGCAGAGAAAGGAGGCAAGCACAAGGCAGCTGAGACAACAGAAGGACCAGCATCAGAGCCACCCTCATCTGGCCCAGGTAGGCTGAAGAAAACTGCCATGAAACTCTTTGGTGGCAAGAAGGGCATCTGTACACTGCCTAGTTTCTTTGGAGGGGGACGGAGCAAAGGTTTTGGGAAAGGCAGCACCAAGAAGGGTCTTAGCAAGAGCAAGACCCATGATGGCCTGAGTGAGGCAGCCCGTAGCCATGAAGACATTGTCAGTGAAGGAACCGGCCTCTCCCTACCTTTGTCTGAGTCACCCTGCCAACTTCCCAGTTCCCAGAGTGCCCATGGGGCTTTGGAGACAGGCTCCAGACGCAAGACATCTGTGGCTGGAGCCACAGAGAAAGTTGGGGCAGAGAAGGCTCCCTCTGTGCCTAAGCCAAAGAAAGGCCTGAAAGGTTTTTTCAGCAGTATCCGCCGTCACCGGAAGAGTAAAATCTCTGGGGCTGAGCAAAGTGAACCAGAGGCCAAGGGGCCTGAGGAGCCCAGAGCAAGGTCTCATGAGCATGTGAGCTCAGCCCTTCTGTCCCATGCTGAGGAAACCCTCCAAGCCCTAAGAAAGGAAAATGCCAACCCCCAAGATGCCCCTGGGTCAAAAGTTTCTTCAGCACCAGAGCCTTCTCCAGCAGCCATGGACAAGACAGCTTGTAAAGATCCAGAAAAACCCACGGAGGTGTGTGCCTCAGCACTCCTGCAGCCCAAGCCTGCCCCTGAAGCCAGTGGCCTAGAGGAGCCCCACAGCCCAGAAACAGGGGAGAAGGTGGTGGTAGGAGAGATAAATCTACCCAGTGGCCCTGTTGGGGACCAACTGAGCCTTTTGTTTGGAGATGTCACCTCTCTGAAAAGTTTTGACTCACTGACAGGTTGTGGTGACATCATAGCAGAGCAGGACATGGACAGTATGACAGACAGCATGGCCTCTGGAGGCCAGAGGGCCAATCGCGATGGGACCAAGCGAAGTTCCTGCTTGGTTACCTACCAAGGAGGTGGGGAGGAAATGGCCTTGCCAGATGAGGATGACGAGGAAGAAGAGGAGGAAGAGGAGGTGGAATTAGAGGAGGAAGGAAAGGGAGTCAAGGCAGAAGAAGACGATGACCTAGAATATCTATGGGCAAGTGCTCAGATGTACCCAAGACCTAACCTGAATCTGGGATACCATCCCACCACATCCCCAGGCCACCACAGCTACATGCTCTTTGACCCAGTTCAGTCTTATCCTGGCCTAGCTCCTGGGGACCTTTTGACTCCTCAGAGTGACCAGCAAGAGTCTGCCCCCAATAGTGACGAGGGTTATTATGACTCCACCACGCCTGGATTTGAGGATGATTCAGGTGAGGCCCTGGGGCTTGTCCGCAGGGATTGCCTGCCCCGAGACAGCTATAGTGGAGATGCCCTCTATGAATTCTATGAGCCAGATGACAGCCTTGAGAATTCCCCACCTGGGGATGACTGCCTTTATGACCTCCATGGTCGCAGCTCTGAGATATTTGACCCCTTCTTGAACTTTGAGCCCTTTTCTTCCTCTAGGCCACCTGGGGCAATGGAGACAGAAGAAGAACGGCTAGTGACCATCCAGAAGCAATTGTTGTATTGGGAGCTTCGGCGAGAGCAGCTTGAGGCCCGAGAGGCCCGGGAGGCACGTGCCCGAGAGGCTCACACCAGGGAAGCCCATGCCCGAGAGGGCCACACCCAAGAAGCTCATGTCAGAGAGGCCCGAGCGCAAGAGTCCTGCACCAGAGAGGCCTGTGCCCGAGAGGCTTGTGCTCGAGAGGCCCAAGTCCGAGAGGTCCAGGCACGGCAGGAGAAGCCCATCATGGAGTATCAGATGAGGCCTTTAGGCCCATCAGTGATGGGCCTGGTGGTAGGGGCATCAGGGGCCTCTCAGACTTCCCACCGGGGAACCACATCAGCTTTCCCTGCCACTTCAAGCAGCGAGCCAGACTGGAGGGACTTCCGTCCTCTGGAGAAGCGTTTTGAGGGAACCTGTTCCAAGAAGGATCAAAGTACCTGCCTGATGCAGCTCTTCCAGAGTGATGCTATGTTTGAACCAGACATGCAAGAAGCAAATTTTGGAGGCTCTCCCAGGAGGGCCTACCCTACTTATTCACCCCCTGAGGAGCCAGAGGAAGAGGAGGTTGAGAAGGAAGGGAATGCCACTGTGAGTTTCTCGCAAGCCCTTGTGGAGTTTACCAGCAATGGTAACCTCTTCTCCAGCATGTCATGCAGCTCTGACTCTGACTCCTCGTTTACTCAAAACCTCCCACAGCTGCCACCCATGGTGACCTTTGACATCGCTGATGTGGAAAGGGATGGAGAAGGCAAATGTGAAGAAAATCCTGAATTCCACAATGATGAGGACCTTGCAGCCTCCTTGGAAGCATTTGAGCTGGGCTACTACCAGAAACACGCCTTCAACAACTACCGCAGCCGATTCTACCAAGGTCTGCCCTGGGGTGTGAGCAGTCTCCCTCGATACTTAGGACTGCCTGGCATGCACCCTCGACCTCCACCTGCGGCCATGGCCCTGAACAGGAGGAGCCGCTCCCTTGACACTGCAGAGACCCTAGAGCTAGAGCTCTCCAATTCCCACCTGGCCCAGGGCTACATGGAGTCTGATGAGCTTCAGGCTCAGCAAGAAGATTCAGATGAAGAAGAAGAGGAGGAAGAATGGGGCCAAGACAGTCCCTTGTCCCTCTATACTGAACCTCCAGGGGCCTACGACTGGCCTGCCTGGGCTCCCTGTCCTCTCCCAGTGGGGCCAGGCCCTGCCTGGATAAATACTGGCCAGGTGGATGGGCCTTCCAGCCAGTCTCCATATGGGCAGGCAGCCTGTTGTATACCTCCTGTGGCTATGTCAGTGTTGCTGTCAGTACCAGGGCCAGAGCCAAGGGCACCCAGGGAATCTGGGCCCCAACCAGCTCGGCCTTCACACCTACCCCTGCCTATGGGTCCTTGTTATAATCTCCAGCCACACGCCTCCCAGAGTGTGAGGGCCAGGCCTCGAGATGTGCTGCTGCCTGTTGATGAGCCCAGTTGCTCCTCCAGTTCTGGAGGCTTCAGCCCCAGCCCTCTGCCCCAGGCCAAGCCTGTGGGCATCACCCATGGCATCCCTCAGCTGCCCAGGGTCCGGCCTCAGCCCATTCACTATGGGGCTTCCAGCCTTGACCTGTCAAAGGAGAGGGCTGAGCAAGGTGCCTCTCTCCCCACCAGTTACTCCTCCACTGCCGTGAATGGAAACCTAGCTGAGTAGTCATCATCAATTCTGGAGTGGGGGCATGGGGCCTGAGCATGTGAATGGGGACCAGGGGTTGGGCAGAGGGGTTGGGGGTGGGGGTTGCTGTTTAACTTGAAAATCCTTTTGGCCGAGGAAAGCTCCTGTGAGTTTTCGCCTTTATTTTTCCCACTTCCCTCTTCTGCCATCTGTGGCCACATTCAGCTCAAGTACATCTGCCCCGGGAGGCTGCTGCTGCTGCTGCTGCTGTGCTCCGGTTGTTGCTTTGGGGGTTTCTTCTTGTGACCCATGCAGGGTTTGGGATGCTGTAATTTTGTGCCTATTCCAGTTGCCGAGTTAGTGATTATATATACGAGTATAGCATGCATCCTTGACACAGGCTGAACCCTTAGAACTCCCTGCCACCTCCCCCACCCAGTGAATGATGAACCACTGATCAACAGCCAGGTCTGCACTGCCTCCCATGTGGGGATAGGGGGCTTGCTTGCTGTTAGCAATGTGAAATTACGGTACAGATCCTCCCCAGCCCTACTCCCTTCTGTCTTGGCATAGCTGCCACCATTACATCAGATGACTATAATCTATTTGCCCCAGCTAGCTGTCCTTAGAGAGGATCAAGTAGTATGTGTCTCACTGACTATTGCTGTGGACTTTGGCATCATAACCAGATGAGGGCCTTCTAATCTGGCAGGCCGTAACTTGGGTTGAAGACAAAAATGCTAATCCCCTTAATGGAGTGATCAGATTCATCCAGGTGCAAACAGAAGACAAAATAAGGTTCGATCATAGACACTGCTGTAAGTCTTGAACTCTGGAATGATAGGATATTTTCCTTCTTCCTCTCTTAAGCTTGTGACTTCCTGAGTTGCAGATGCTTTTGAATTTTAGTTCTTTTTTCCTCCAAAGGAAATTTTCATAGTCTCATCACAAAGAATACATTCTTTTAATTGAGATACAAGAAGAGAAGTGGCCTAAATTAGGCTTGGCTATAGGGGTTGGGGTTTTTGTAGGTTGCAGGGAAAGGATAGAAAAAGGAGATCCATTTGCCCCAGCCAGCAGGACAGGATTTCAGACATTGCAGAGCTCAAGGCAATCCAGCTTCTTAGAAGGGAAAACTGCTTTCCCCTGAAAAACAAAAAGTTTCATATGCCTTGCTCACCCCTTCATGTGGATGCTGTAAAGAGGCTTCAGACTAACACTCCCAAGAGACGGGACACCAAAGGCTTCTAGGCTGCTCTTCTGGACTCTAAAGAGCTTTCATCTTCCAATTAGCTAAGTCCTTAGCACCATCAAAGGACTGGGCTTCTTGAGAGGAAAGACTGTGACCTGCCCTCACTCTGCCAAGCTTCAGGACTGATTTGCGTGGCAGTTACAGCCCTTTATGGAATGAATTGGCACCCTCCCTTCTCCTGCATCCACAGTTTTCATGTGAAACTAGCTTGGAAATGCTGGTGGGGAAAAGTTGCTGTCAGGAAGACATTGCAACAGGCTAATCTTTCCGATCTCAACCTCATTCATCGCCAACACTAGAGGGTTCCTTTTAAAGTTCTTTATTGGGAATAGTATATGGAACAACTTTTGCCTGAATATGTTCACCCAAATTATGATCCTTGCCCACACTGTCCCTGTTCTTGCCCCCACCCCCACCCATCTCCTTGCCCGTTAAGGGAAGGGGTCAACAGGGCTCTCACCATTCCTAAGATATGGCAGCTTGGCTTGGGAATAGCTGCTGTTGTCCCCCCTCCCCCCATCCCACCCCCGACTCACAAAGGTGACTATATGGGCAAACTACCCCTTGGCCAGGGGATATGTTTGCACTGGTCTTTGTCACCATTTCTCAAATTGGGGTTGGCCCAGTACCCGTGCCCCCAAAATCAGGCTTAGCTGGTAGAAGCAGCACCCCTGGAAGCACCACACAAGTTTGCATAGCACCGCCACCACTGCTCAAGGGACCCAGACCAGCTTTCCAGGCTGACTTTGTCTGCATCGTGAAGAAATGCGTCAGTCATGGAGCTGGAAAATGAAATAGGGTGAAAGGCCCTCCTCACACCAAGCACATTATTCCAGGAGAAAAGTGCCCACATTCCAACCTTCTGTCCTCTCACCAAAGCTGCCCTGGGAAAGTGGGGCTAAAATGGGCCTGGCTGTTTGGCAGGAAGTAAACACTCACCAAATGCCTTTACAACAGGGGAAAACCTACCACTTGCCTCCTCTGTCTCTGCTTGTCCTTTAAGGCAGCTCAAGCTCCTGTCTGGATGTGGACTGTGGCAGCCACCACAGGTAGTAAAGCCATCACCAGCCTCCAGCGCCCACTGGGCCACCAGCCTCTCTGGGAAGAGAAAAAGTAGGTGGTCAGCCTTTGGCCAAGGGCTGAGAGAGCTGTCCTCAGTGGCAAGAGGCAGCATGAGGTGCTGCCTCTGAAGGGAGCAGTCATAGGTCTGACATACTTTGCTGGGCTTTGGAAGTTTGCATACCACAGAGTAGGCCTAGGACTGAGCAGCAGCTTATGGTTTGGACAACATTACTGCCTGCAAGTCCTTTCGCTTTCTTGGCCAGCCCAGGAACAGCATCCTCACCACCAGAAGTGGGGCAGTCAGGATGCATGGCTGCAGAAGCAGACTCCTCTAGAGTCTCCAGATCTAAGTAGTTTGTGGCTAAGTCCCAGCTTCAGCCTAGAAGAGAAAGGAAGACCTGCCTGGGGACATGTGATGGCAGTGCAGGGTGACACTGGGAGAGCCAGCCAAGCTCTAGGCCTCTCCCCAAACATAGGCCAGTGCTTGCTTGGCTGGAACCAAATATGCCCGGACTACTAAAGGTGTCAATGTCAAGTCCACACCTCCTAGGCTGTGACTAGATGAACACCGTGTCTGTATTGCCAGGTCTTGGGATAATGCTTTTGGATGATACCTCAAGGGAAGATATGACTTGAAAGGAGGTGGCTGCCCTCATCTATCTACCCTGTAGGTTTATCTAGTGCCAGACAGCTGTGATCCTGAGAATTCCCAGATGACACTGGTCCTTGGGGGACCAGTGATTGTGGCTAGAAAAGGACACCTAGGAGGCCTCTCCCAGGGCCGCCAGTTACTCGGTGCTTTAGCGCCTTCAAGGAAGCCCTGCCTTGGGGCCATTAAGGCCTTCCCTGCCCAGCTGGACTTAGCTTGGGTACCAGTTCACGAGCCTCCTGGGCCAAAGGCTTCAGTCAACACCAGTCTCCCTCCCTCCTCTGTACTGTACCAAGGAGGGAAGTAGCTTCTGATACCCAGGGTGCATTCCCCTTATCCTGCTGCCAGCAACTTTCCCACCCTTGCCAGTGCCACCACCCTACCTGCCCTCAGCCCCCGGGCCCTATTACTAGAGGGAGGCATGGGGGGTTTAGCAGGGAGACTTCAAGTTTACCCATGTGTATGTTGCATCCAAGTTGTTTTTAATATATATATATATCAAAAGTCAATTATCTATTTTTGTATTGTTTGCATTTTATATTCATGGAAAACGATGTTTATCAATTGTTCTTTTCTGATATATTTTATTTTTAAGCGGTGCTGTTTACAGTTTTAAACAAAACAAAGATGACACAAAAATTGCTGCTGCTTGTGCAGAGGGCTGGCATCTCAACTGGCCAGGGCCCTCACTCTTTCCCCTCTCCCCACCCCTGATGTATCGCACTGTCCTTCCCCTCCCTCCATGATAGGGACAGCAGAAGATGCCCAGGTACTAAATCAAATGCCAGGTGACTCAGGCATGTGGAACCTGGTAGACAGCGTGTCGTTTTATGGCTTTATTTTTTATTTTGGATCCTTTCCCCTGTTTGTAGACTTCCTGGAAGTACTCATGTTTCTGTCTCTGTCTCTTTCTCTCTTTTTTAACTCTTTATGTTTTGTGCTTTCGTTTTGAAACCAGAGTTCCCATATTGTGCTATTTGTCAAGTTGAGTTTCTCCAGAGGAGTGTTTTGGGGACAGGGATATTCTCCACCCAGTGGGAAGGGTAGAGGGTTTCAACCATGCCCTGTCTCCCCAAGAAGTTGGGGGAGACAGATGGCAATGATGCTTGAACCATCAAGAATTAGCCATCTCATTGAGGAAAACCTTGCATGGGACTCTGTAGGAACTCAGTTGATTGGGAAATTCACCCAGAAGAGACATTGGGAACTCCTTGACCCCTCTTGCTGCTTTGGGAGAAATCTCTCCCTCTACCACTGTTCCCCCTCCCTGCCCTGCTCCAGCTCACACATGGATGGTACTTTGGGGAACAGTGACAGGGTGATGGCTTATTGGCCTGATCCCCATTTTTCATCCTATAGTCACTCCAAAGAAGAAAATCCACATGGCATGTATATGTATAAGGGTTGGACTTACTGAGAGGTGGGGCTTTAATTATTATTCTTGTTACTATTGGTGCTTATTTTCCCTGCTGTATACGGGGGTGGGGGTGGGGGGAAGAAACCAGGAATGTATATTTAGGTCATGTTAAATAAAATGGCTGGGGGATAGAAGGAAGAAATTAGGAACTGCAGTACATCCCCACCCTAGGTGTAAGAGTTCTTTCTCTCCCAGTGCAGAAAGGGGAGCATGGCCCCTGGATGTACCCTAGCTTCCTCTTCCCTGTCCCTGAGACATCATGGAATTTCCTGGATTGTGACCTCTCCAATCCTTGTTCTCACATCTGGATATCTTGATGCACTGCCTGTTTGTAACAACATATATTTCTTTGCTGAATGCTAATAAACTGGGTTCAAGATGGAGCCCCCCAGTCACTAAAGTGCATTCTTGTGGTTTGTTCCACAGCAGCATGCTTGTGACCGAGCCATAGTTTCAGGGTTTGTCCTTGAAAGGAAAAAAAACAAAAGCAAGGAGGTAGAAGGGGCACCCAGAAGTGGAAACAAGCCAGAGCTGAAATTAAAAGTAGAGGAAACTTCAGTTCTTTATCCAAGCCATGCCCTGCATCTCGGTATGATACTGTGTTGGTGAACTCTCCATCACACCTTCCACACCCTAAGACTTGACAGGGGCTGCAAGCACTTCTGAAATTAGCCTCCATTCATGTGAATGTGCTGGCCTCCCCAACAGACAGGTGTGGGCCTCCTACTGACAGCTCCATCAAAAAGATATATCCAATGGTAGGACTATCAGGCCAAGCTGCAGGAATGGCATCCTTCACCCAGGCCTATGAGCAGAGATGACATGCTGACCAGGTAGCTAACTGCCTGCTACATCTGTTCAGCCATGGGACAAAATAAGGAGCATGTGGCTTCTGCCCATTACTGTAGGGTATCTCATGTGGTAGGCACCAGAGTTGTACCACAATATCCCAGTTACCTTGGAGTCATGTCCTGGTTTCCCGACCTGTCCTAGCCTAGGCAGAAATCACTTGCCCCTCTATTATACACAGAAAGGCCCACCTGTACCATCAACTAGGAGAAGGTGATTGTGCTAGTGGCTTTGGTTTCTCTAATCCAGACTCTTACCCTTGGTCCCTGACAAGCAAGGGAGACAGACGTCTGCTGGTGGACTTCCTCGAATTCCACCCAATTGCCATGTCCAAACCTGAAAAAGCAGCTGCTTGAAAAGTGCTATGGGGCTGGCTGAGTGGCTTAGTTGGTTAAGAGCTCGCTCAAGAGTTTGAGCTCTGAGCAACAGCGGTTCGAATCCAGCCCGAGCTGAGCAGCCGCTGAGCTGCCAACAGGTAGCAGGATGGCTCAGCTAAAAACTGAAAACAAAACAGAAAAGTGCTATGGACAGTGCTGCCACAAACACAATTGGAGGGCTCCCTCGGGCTCCTTCCCAGACTCGCAAAGAAGCTTGGTGGCTCCTAGGACCTCATGTGTTAAGGAAAGTCAAAATAAAGCAAATTAGCAAGAAAGAAAAGAGAGAACCTTCTGGGAAGGAAGTTGACAATTCATAGAAATTGAATTATCTGTCCTGGGCTGCTCATGGAACACAGAAGAGGGTCATGTTTGCTCAGGGAGCATTTGGAGCAAGATCTTCTGGGAAGGTCTTATTATATCCATTGGGAATTCATGGGGGTTGTGGAATTAGGGAGGCCTGGGTTTATGCCTTAATTTTTTTTTTAAAGATTTTTATTGGGGAATTGGGGGGATGGGAACAGTGCTGGGGAATTGGGGAAAGGGGAACAGACAAGTTGCTGTCGTTTT